TCACAATTGCCTCCGGGAGTGCGGCTTCCGGCGTCCATCTCGGGGACGCGCGCCCACGGAGCTGCACTCTGAACCACCTCTCGGACCCTCCCGTCTTGCGGCATGGCCTATCTTTTACGGCAGTGATCCTATCCAATAGCCTCAGCCCGTCCGGAAAGACACCTTCTTTCGGATCCGCAGTCTGGACGGCCTCCTGTGAGATGCGTCTGATGCGGTTTGGGTGCACTCGTGCGCTTATTCCTCCGACTTCTGAACGTAGACAGTAGCTCACCTTCGACAGTTTTCGTTCCACCACGTAGGGTCCAAGCCAGGAGGGAACTATCTTGTTTCCCTCCTTGCTGACGAGGTCAGGGGCCCACACCATGACGCCATCCCTTGGCTTCAGGCCTAGATCCCTCACCACGCGGTCGTACTGAGCAGCCGCGTTCCTGCGCGCTTTCATACCTTGCGCCAGAAGCCTCGAGTGGAGCTCCTTGAGGTGCCTAGCGGTGCTGTAGGTCTCCCCCATTACCCGGTCGGCCACCACCTCTCCCCACGCTACAAACGCCTCTATCCCGAACATCGCCTCAAACGGTGATAACTGAGTCGCCTCGTGTACTCCGGTGTTATATCTCAGGCAAGCCAGGGAGACGTGGAGGTCCCAGTCGTCTTGTCCGGTGCACACAAAGCAGGCTATATCTTGCGCGGGCGTCCTATTCCATCGTTCCACACACCCGTTCGCCTGTGGGTGAAACGGGGAAGTCGTTACCCGCTTCGTGCCCAGCTGCTCGGCCATGTTCGACACTACCTTCCCGATATAGTTGGGGCCTCTGTCACTCAGAAGTGTCTCCATGGCGCCGAAGATTGCCACCCACTCATCAAGGATCTTTCTCGCCACAGTTTCCGCCTTTTCATCTGGGATAGGCGCCGCGCGGGCAAACCGCATGAAGGTGTCAATCATCACGAGGACCTTGATATTGCCAGCCTGAGTCCTTGGTGTTATTGTTTGGACATCGACTGCCACCTGCTGAAGCCGGCGGCTGGGGTGGTATACCACCATTGACACACCTCGCCCTGGCCTCGCCGCTTTTACCGCGGTGCACGCGACGCACCGAGCGATTCTCGTCCTGATGTCTCTTCTCCATGACCGCCACCAGTAGCGCCCTCTCACTCGTGCTTCAGTCCGCCTGAGTCCGTAGTGGCCATTAACGCGGGACCCGTGTACAAACTGCAGCACCGATCCCACCAACCGGGGCGGCACCACCAAACAGCAGCCACCACCAGGGCCGGCTGGCCGGAAACCGAGCAGGCCCTTGTCAGTCACTTCGAACCTTCTAGCCCCACCAGCCCCCACCCACTCAGTAGGGTCACCGAAAGCTTCCCATTGGGCTGTCCTGAACTCTTCTGCCGTGGGCCCTCCTCCGATGGCCTCGGCAGCCACGACGGCCCCCACAGTCTCCACGTCCTGAACTTGCTTCTCCTGGCCCTCCAGCGGTGCGAAGCAGCGCTGGCACAAAGGTTTCTCGACGGCGTCCCTGCTCAACGGGTCAGGGACTACCAGAGCGGACCCCGGTGCATACTGTACGATAAAGTCGAAGTCCTGGACTTCGACCATCCAGCGGGCCAGCCTTCCTCTCGGGTCGCGCAGGCTCATTAGCTATTTCAGAGAGCAATGGTCGGTAACTATGGTGACTTCCTTCTCACCGTGCAGGTAGGGACGCCATTTCCTGAGCCCGTGGACCACGGCCAGGCATTCGCGTTTGGTCACAGTAAACTTTTTTTCTGACTCTGAAAGCTTTCTGCTTGTGAAAGAAATGGGACGCCATCTTCCATCGGACTCCTTCTGTAGCAGCACTCCCCCCAGTCCGTACGAGCTGGCGTCAGTCATGGCCTTCTTGGCCGCTCCCCTTCGCGGGGGTACGAGAAAGTCCGGGTTACTGAGCACTTTCTTGAGATCCCCCATGCCGTCCTCAGGCGCCCTCCCCACCTCTGATCCCAGTCGCTTATGACGAGGCGAGCTCCTCGCTTGTTTCTCCGATTGAAGCCGGTGCCTTTGAGGACGGCGTGCAGTGGCCTGGCGATCTCTGCGAAATGGTCAACAAATTCGCTGAAGTAGTTTACCAGTCCGATAAACCCCATCAGCTCCTCCCCGTTACCTGGTTCCACAAGATTCCTGATCGCCTCAACATGTGCTGCTGACGGCTTGATGCCGTGTTCGTCGATGCGGTGTCCTAGTATCTCAGCGGTCCGTACGCCGAATTGGCATTTCGAGAACTTGAGGCGGGCGCCTGCGTTGAGAAAGCGCTCCAGGACTGCCTCCAGGGACTGTAAGTGGGCTTCGGCAGACTCCGTACCTAGGCTTACGTCATCCATAAAGGCCCACACGTCCCTTCCCTTTCGATCGCCAAGAATGACGTTGATTATGCGTTGGAAGGCCGCTGGGGAATTCTTCAGCCCCTGCGGCAGCCTGAGATACCTCAAAAGCCCCATCACTGTGCGCACCGCTGTGTAGTCTCTTGACTTGTCGTCCAACTCAATTTGAAAAAAGCCGTCTTTGAGGTCTATCGTAGAGAAAACGCGCTTGCCTCCCATCCAGTCTAGAGTTGCGCGGACGTCCTCTATAGGGTAGCTGTCAGTGACGGCTACCGAGTTGAGCCCCCTAAAATCCGAGGTGACTCTAGTCGATCCGTCCTTATTCTTGACAAATACGTTACAAGCTGCCCATGGCGACGTCGCGTGCTCGACGACTCCCATCTCCAGCAGTCTTGTCATTGCTTGCCGTTCCACCGCTTCCTCCTTTGGCGAGCGCCTCCGGACTGGGCAGCAGACGGGTTGGGCATCAGGAAGGAGCTTGATCTCGTGCTTGACCCCCTTTATGCGCCCGAGCCCCTTGAAAACCTCCCTCTGCCGCCACAGCACCGCCCGTAGTCGCCCCTGCATCTGTTCGTCGGCGTGGAAATTGGTCAAGTCCATGTCGGTTATTGCGTCGTCGATATCGGCGTCGCGGATGGCAGCCGCGAGTTCCAACTGCGTGCCGTTACTGTCCTTCCTGCGTACACTTCCTCCAATGCAACGGTCGTGCACCCGTATCTTGGCCGAGTCCGTAGCCAGGTTGAGCTGCAGGCCATACTTCGACCAGAAACGGGAACCCATAAGCATGGTGCTGGGGAGGTTGGCAGCGACGCGTACTGGTTCGCAGAATACCTCCCCCACATGGAGAAGCGCAAAACTCCGCTGCCGCAGACCGCCATTTCGTGTCCGTCCGCGGCGTGCGCGGAGATTCCTCAGCAGTCCACGTGCCCCCCACCGACCGGAACCAATCCCGGTCGACCCATATGGAACTGGCGCCCGTATCTAGGGGCACCCACCAAGTCTGGTTCTGCACCGATAAGCCGACGCACAACCCATCCGGTCTCCCCGGCTCCTCCCCGGCTCCTCCCCGGTGCACCTGCAGACGCGCTCGGCCGAGCGGTCCCCGGTGACCACCCCGACGGCCCGGGGCCTGCCGCCTAGTTTCTGTGGGGCGGCAGGTCTCCGGACCTCCTCCCGCCCCCCTTGCCTTCCCCCTGCTTGCTGCTTCCAGTTTCGGCTCTCTGTCGCCTCTTTTTCTCACAGTGACGAGCGATGTGTCCCTTCTCCCCACAGTAGTAGCATGTGGCGGAGATGAAGCGATCATCCCCCGTAGGATGGGGGGTTTGTTGCAGAGCTGGGTCGACCCGGGCGGCGGGGTTCTTCTGCTGATTTGCTTCCTCATGCAGTTGCCTGACGCGCTCTCCGCGATATCTGCCCCTCCCCGTCTCGAAGGCGGCTGAGGCGGACATCATGGCCACCCTCCCCGAAACCTCGTCAAACGAGCCGGGGACGGAGATAGCCAAGTCTTGGATGGCGGGGGGTAGGGATTGAATAAATCGATCCAACATTGTGTCGTCCGACACAGGTTCCGGAAGTGCTAAGGCAGCCTCGCGCACCCTGTGCGCGAATTGGTCGAGACTCTCCCTGCCCTCCTTCCATACAATTTTGTTGAACTTCGTCCGCATCTGGCGCTGATGGCTCGAGTTGCAAAGCTGTGCTCTTGCCAAGACCCAGAGTTCTTCAGCGCAGCACTGTAGGTTGGCCGACGCAATCCGCTCGAAAACCGATAGGGCGGTCCCTGAGAATGCCGAGGCCAGCAAGCGGCGTTGATGGTTGGGGTGAACAGGAAAGTCTTGGATCAGCCGTTTCCATGCCTTGTGTGCCGCGAAAAAATTCGTGTCTCCTGCAGTTGAGATGCGGACAGGCTCCAAGGATCTAGCGTAGATCTTGAATGCGGTGCCTGGTTTCAGCAGTTCGCTGTCGTCCATGGAGGCGGCGGACAAGTCCATGCCTCGCCCGGGGCCCTTTCCTTCTTGACAGGGCGTGCCCGGCGTTGAGCCACCTGCGGGTGGTTGCGCTTCCGGCGCCACACCCCGCCCATGTGGGCCGGCCTCCCTGCGACGGTGTGGGAAATGGGCATGCGAAGGGGCTCCATCGTCGTCCAAGCGCCCATCGAGGAGCTCCGCTAGGTCTCCTACTGCGCTCCCGACTGCCCTGATTGCCCTTGTATTGTCCTGCAGGTTGGTAAGGATCGCCTGCATAACCTCCCTCAAAGCCTCCAACGGTGCCAAGGGATCCAGACCTTCAGCCTCAATCGGTGACCGTTGCTGGCGCCTGTCCCGCGATGCCCCTCCAGTCTCGATCGTTCCGTCATTTGTCGTCATCTGCGCAAATTTCTCCTCCATTTCCTTTTGCTTTGTCCAAAGCCCTGGAGGTCCTGCGCCCTGACCGCCTCGGTCTCCTGATGGGTTCATTCTTCCCACCCGGCCCTTGTTCCTTGTCCCTGTCAATCCAGACCTGGACAGTCAGGTGTGGTACTCACCAACAAATTTGTTATGTTGCGGCTAGTCCAAGCCGCATACCTCACCGATCGCGGACGCAGCAGGATCTGAAAGTAGTCCTCGAGTTTACCTTCAGCTCGCCTGTAGCTTCCTCGATACCTTTCCTACATGCGCGTCGCGTCTATCTTATACTCCCGATACCCGCCGCCCTTGGTGGCCGTTCCGTCCCCCAAGTCCCGTGCCGGCACCAGCTGCCACCCCCCGAGACTCGGGCCGTTGCCTCAGCCCTTCCGTCGCGATCTCCTGGTCTTCTTAAGTCTCCTGTCCTCTCCGATCTCACCGTTCTCCTTGGCACACCGCCGAGCCCAACGTTATGCCCACGTCCAACGTCTTGTCCGCGCTTCCGCCCGACACCTCCCTTGGTTCGGGCGGCTCCTCTCAGCGCCTTGTGTCAGCCTCCAGCCCAACGACACCACAGGGTCCAAACGTTCTCGTCCTCCGGCAACGTCCTCGCTTCCCCGCAACTTCCTCGCTTCCCCGCAACGTCCTCGCCTCCCCTAGATTCCCTCACCCGACAGTGTCGGGGTGTGCCGCGCATTGAACGCCAGGCCATAGGCTGCAGCTCTCACGTGTACCACGTGTCGCGTAGAAATCAAATTTGAATCCGCAACAGTATTGCACTACATATCCCCCTTCTGAGCGACCTTGCACATCGGCTACACTCCTTGATCTCCAACTCCTTCTCTTCTCGATCCCCTACTTTTCTATTCCTGGCCGACGGTCTCCGCATGAGCAAGGACAAGACGAATCCCACGTGTCCTCCACCTCCTGAGCTGGCGTGCGAAAATACTGCCCGTCGGCGCACCGGTGTCGGCTTCGCGAACAAGTCTCGCGCTTCCTTCGACCTCCCTCCTATACCCCGACGCCCCCCTGATTCGGACGTCTCCGACCGGGCCTTTCATCCAGGTTATCATCCCTCTTGGGTAGCCCGCCACTACCCCTCGCTCGAAGAGCTACAGGACAAAATCATGCACGAACATCCTTCCTTATTTGCCTCGGCCCAGTGGTTCTCCTCCGTAGGTATTCGCGACGTTTCCAAAATCGAACACCAATTCGCCGACGACGCGGGCATGCTTCCCGGTAATCTCCCGGTGCTTGCCATCCGCTCCTTTGACTGGCGAACCCGTATGACAGTTCCGACTTCTATCCTACGTCATTCTCCCCCACGGGGCCGTCCCACTCTCTCCCTGCGATTTATGGAAGCCGTATTCGCTCGGCTTGCCATCCCCATTTCCGACACGCTCATACCCTCGTCATACGGTCGCGACACTTGGCGTTGTCGTACAGAGGGCGAACGCCTCTATTTGGACAATCTCATTGATATCACCTTTGGTGACCCTGCCGCCGAGGTGGATCGCCTGTGGCGAAACTGACATACTGTCACACCCGATGCCATCTTCTGGACCGAACCCATTATCCCTTCGAATTTCCGTCATTTAAAACGCGGGGGTATTTTCTTCTTTCAAAACACAGTGCGTTTTGAACGGCGTATTCGGTCTGATACGGGGTACTTCATCGGCTACCAAATGGTAGAGGCGCGCGAGATTTCCCGTCAGCATTATGCAAGTCGTTACCAGCGCATCCCCTCGTGGTGGAGCCAGTACGAGGTGAGTCAAGGCTTTTGGGCCGAAATGGGACCCATACTCACGTACTATGGCAGCTACCTGCGGGATCTGCAACACAGGTTATGGGTGGTCTTCCTCACAGAGTGGTGCGTCAAAGTAGCTGCGACCCTCTTGTGGGAGACCTATGATTGCTGGCGCCTGTGGCACCTCCCCGCGAAGCTGATAGCACAAATGCGTCTATTGGACTTCTCTGTCCCTCTGGGTGGCTCTGATGTCAACCCCGAAATACGCTCCCTCCTTGATACGATCGAGGGCGTGGATTGGGACTGTATCTCTCCGCAAAACTCCTCTCGATCCTTCACTCGCCAACGTCCCTCTTTCTCCCCTGGTCGAAACCACCCAGCCGCGGGCGACTTCGTGTGGTTCAACCCCGGGTCATCGACCCTCTGCTCGGCGTGGGAAGCTCAAACGAGCCGTCGATTCGGAAACCAAACACCGATTCCCGACGTATCCGCCGTCGTCACATCTGACCCCCGGGAGCTTCAAGTATGCTCCCGTCCTTCCTCTCCAATTCCTCCTCGATCGGCTGTCCCTGCTTCCCCGCGCGCAGCCCTGGCCCCTCCATCCTCGTCAAGGCGCCCCCAGCTGTCGAAATTCCCTCGGCAGACCACACCGACACATTGTCGGTGAGGGAAGTAATATCTCCCCCCCTGTCTCCAACAATTTCCAAAAATATCCACGACATCACGAGCGTATACTGTGCCTTACTCCGTGCTCACGGTGTTGAGGGAGAGGCTCTGCAAGGAGCCTCGATTGACGACCTGCGAGTTTTGGCTCGCCTCGTGTCATCACTTCCAAAGGGCAAATCCTTTGGTAAACCTCCCGTCTGAGCTGACGGGCGCGACACTTCCCTCGTGATAGCTTGTCGCATCTCTATCCTGCCTGCGTGACGTTGAATTTGCGACCTCGTCATGTCGCCTTTGCTCCGTAAATTGAATTTTCCTGCGTGCTCCTTCGTCCCTTCGTTTCCTCCTCTTTTTCTCATTGATGCCCACCCCGTCAAAATCACGGTGGCACTCTTATACCTCATTCCTCCTTCTCTTCACCTCGCTACTTCCTCCTCTTTTTCTCTCTCTCTCTCTTTTTTTGTATACGCCCCGTCGCCGCGGTCGTATCTTCCTCTTTCCACTTTCCCCCTTCTCTTTTCTTTGTCCCCACTTTTCCTTCTCTTCGATTTTCTCCTCATCTCGTGCGTTCTCGAATTTTTCCTCCTCTTTTCTATGCCCTTACCATCTCGATTGTGGGTACCAAGTCGAGTCGACATCCTGGAAAAGGGGGCAAGGGTTTCACGAAGCCTTTGTATTTAAATTGATGTTCCTGTCGAGCGTCAGGAGACGCCATCGTCGTCTGTGTCGGGTTCGCGTAGGGGTCGACGTCCCTACGGGCGACAAACTATACAGTACAGCAGCACAAATTGAGACTAAACATCGGTTCGGGATCCCCGCATCTTCTGGCGGTGTCGCTCACGAGCGGCAACCACACACTTTCTTTTTCAACTCGATCTATCCAATCCCCGTAGGGGACGGCGGGAAGATGACGAGCAGAGTCTCGACGAAATCATCTTGATTTCGCCTGCGGCGACGAGACCTCTTTGGTAGTTGCGCACCAAATCGGTGCAGAGTGAGGCAAACTGCGGCGCAACGGAATCGCAGATCTTCGGTCCTTCGGCGAGTGTCCCTCGATGTTTGGACATCGATGTATCCTCATTCATGGTGGTACCGTCTGCCTTGATCGCCTTGGCGAAGACCCCGTCGAGATCCATCTCTCCTTTTCCTGCTCGTCAGCTTTGCACGCACAGAGTTACTGTACGTCTCCGTTTCGCAGGCTTGGCTCCTCGTCCATTTTTTTCAAACGTAATGCTGACGACGTCCTCGTCCTCGCTTTGTGAGATTTACCTTCCGAACCCCCTTTCCTCCGCTTGATCCTCAAGGATCGTTGGTGACGTTTCACGTCTGTGGCCAACAGCCTGGTGACTAGTTCAACCGTAGCGATTGACCTTATTAACGGGACACCGACATCGTTCGGGGGTGGTAAATAATTCGTACGACCGTTGGTTACCCATCCAAAGCTCTGTCGCTGGCAGCGAACAGTGTGGCAGTTTGGTTTCCCTGCTTGGGCTCTTCGACATGGTCCTCAGTGAGCATTTCGTGTCGGGATAGAGTTACTCCTCACAATTTTCCTCCCCTTCTGCGCTCCCTACAAACCGTTAGCTCGTTCCAAAGTGGGGTTGGCGTCGTGTCGCGGAGTCGGGTTTCACCCTCAAATAAAAATTGTACATTGACTAGTTTTCTCCGTCGGGGCGAAGAAGCGGATGAACCTTCTAGGCGAGTGCGCGTCACTAGTTTTGCGAAGTCGTCCCCGATTTGTAGACAACGGCTCACGTTCCCTCATTTCTGCTTCCTGATTTGGCATCCCCCATCTTGCGCCTTCTCGTCCTTGGTAACACTAGGGCAGCTTGTCCTTCCTCTCGACTCGATACACGCGTAATAAATTAATTACGTTCGACGCGGCGCCTTTCTTCCTCGATCTGGCATCGCCTGGTTCGGATAACACGATTTTTTTCTTCGCTTCCCGCGGTGCGGGGTTGGATCTCTGCTTCGCATGAGTCGTAAGATTACCTAGACCAAAACAAATTAAAGAAAACAAACGAAAACGAAACGATACACCGAAGTGCAGTACAACAACAAGAAGTGAGTGAGGAGGTTACGGTGTCAATAAATCCTTGATGAAGGCGTGATACAACACAGTAAGGCGACACAGCGTCGCTGTTGATCGGGAGTGGTGCGGGCAAGTGACGGTGTTCACGATCCGATTGCGTGTCCCTTCGAGGGTGTGCAGTTATAACTTCGACGAAGTTTTGGGGTTCGCTTTCCGGCGTGGTGTCAGGCCTTATGTTCTGCGAACAGTCCCCACGGCGTCGCGACACGTGTCCATTAAATTTGATTAAAAACCCCGATGATTTGTCGTGTTCCATTTTGACTTCACAGAATTTGTCCGTCTGTCTCCCCTTGGGAGTACAGTGCCTCTGAATTCTCTTCGTGAACCCGCTCTGTTGAGGGCAGTATGCCGATCTAAACGTCGTTTCGCATTCCGCGCCGGTGCCGTGCGTGGGTCCATACCAGTAAACGTTAGACTCGTTTCCTCATTAGTGCGTATGGTGGTCATCCACCTTCCCTCCGCCTTCCGTTCCATTCTCTTTGGAACCGATCAAGCGTCGTTCCTCACGAGTCCTCCCCGTTTCCTTCTTGCCTCTCATCATCGTTGATGTACAGTCCTCAGCGTGCACACGAATCAAGCGCTTGCGTACGGGGTCCACTCAAACTGTACCTCCGTTTGCGAGTTGACTACCTTTCTTCTGACCGTGCTTCCGCGTCGAACCAAAACCGAAGTCACCCTGACCATGTGCATCTCCTTACGACGACCAATAAAAAACCCTCCGCTACGAGCGGCGGTGTTCCTCACCATCCTGTGAATTGCTCTTGAGAGCTTGACCGGCGATGTCGCATCTCGCCTCATCCACTTCCTTTCGATCCGCCTCGCTAACTTGCTCACGCACATCAACTGGATCTTTCCCAAACCTTCTCTCGCGGCTCGAAGGTAACCCGCTCGTCTGTCTGACACAGCCCCTTATCCCTTAGGGAGTACAGTCAAATGCTCTACCGATTGAGTTACCGGGAGCACTCTTGTAGGGTACTCGCGGCTATATGAGTCGTGACCCTTACATCATCTATGATAATCTGACACACCCTCTTCAGAACCACGCTTGTGCCTTCACTTACACTCTTCCGAATGCGTTCCGCTCTCTCCCTTCTGACGCCGTCTGGTTGCCACCAGACAATTCCTTAATTAGGCACAGTCTGTCGTGCTCGGTCACTC